AACCTGAAGAGTATGAATATCTACATGTCAAAATCGTAAAACAACTTAGGTTCTGTGTATGAGCTGTAATTCTCCCAGGAACAGCGTCGCTTAAAATATTTCGCTAATGTCCGCGTCATGACTGCCGAATGAGCATAAGCAGATAAGTAATTTTCGCTACAAATGCTGTTATCTAAAGCGAATTGCATTGCATGTAACTTCCAATCAGTAGTACCTTGATAATAGTACCTTTAAAATCAACTCTTCAATGCTGGTCCTCCACTGATGGATCAGTGTATGATAATCTTCTCTGAACGCGCACAGGCGTATCGTGCCGGAGCTTCCTTGCAAGACAGTGTTACTCCACTGACCACGGAAAGTTCTGTCGCGGGCAACAGGAAATCAAGCCATTTACCAATGGTCGGGAATATGAAATGATATAATACGAAATATTACCATGAACTATTCCTAAAGGCTATTCTTGTAAATTCTCATTTATAGGAAATAGAAAAGTAGTGAGGTAAATAATGTTGAGAAGAGTTGAAAGTCGCGGGAACGTAGAGTAACATGAAGAGTATTCATATTTTTCCAAGTACAACAGACGGTAACCACTCGACAAAATTGCATGATTTGTGTTACAATTGTAACTTGAAGTCTCCTGGTGCATCCCTTGATCGCAATAAAAAAGATTGTGTACTCCTGTGCGGTTTTAACCGGATGTTACTGAAATCAGGAACAGGGAGCGAGGAACAGGGAACGGGAGTCTGAGACATGACAATTCTTATAAATATCCAACATGGCGGATGAATAGGCGGAAACAGAGTAAATACGCAGCCAAAGGTAACTTTCACTTTAATTCTTACTAAATACGATTGAATAGAGGACCCAAGGTTGCCGTTTGTGGTTTGTTGTATTTTAGATCGCTTTGTTTTTCTCTGTTATATAGCATATAGGCGCTGCCGAAGTACAATTTTCTAATCAAAGTATTTCGAGGGTATTTATAAGAATCTGTTATGAAAATTATGTTGAGTCCTTAAATTTAAATGAGAAAAGAAATTGAGGGGTAATCAAATTTGGTAGTAAAATACAGTAATGCGTTGTTTAAGGAAATGTCGATACCCCTCCAACAGTGCCCCGTTCTTGGTTTTGGTAACATCCCTTTTAACTTAACCTACGGCTCAAGCTAGATAATGAATGGAAAATTACGTTTACATGTAGTTTCTTCCAAATATGAATCATCATTTTATCTCTTATTTTTATTGTATGATTGTCGGTTTCGCGCAAATGCTTGATATATCCAAATGCTTATGTCTATCCAAATATTTGTTTTTAAATTTATCAAAGAGCTTTTATATACCCAATCTTATTTGTTTTGTTCTTTCCAAATCGATTGCATGGAGATGAATACTTATGGGATAAGGGTATTTTTAATTTTCATTGTATGTTTAAAATTCATTAAAAATTAGAATATTATCAAATCAGACTTTGCTCTTCAATAAACATTTTCCCCGGCAGTTCTGAAGACATTGATCACTTAGAATTCCTGTATGCAGTATTTGCGTAACTAGAAGAATTTAGATGTGCTTCCTTTTCTAATTATAAACAATAGGAAACTTTATCAACCCTACACTATAAATCTAAGCCTTACTCCAATCCTACTCTGACAGTCTCAGCTGAAAAGCAAACAGAACCCCAAACGTGCTGTAATTTATTTTTTATGTTTATGCATGTCGCGATGTTAATCGAAGACTAGAGATTTAAAAAAAGAATCAAACTGGGCTATCCTGATTGGGGTTCTGTGAGGAAAACATGAAGTTTGTGAGTCGTAAAAGGGATATAACTGACCCAGACCCAGCCAGCGGATGGACCCGAGAGCTGAATCGACGGTAACAGCGCAATATCCGCCAGAGGGTATTCCTAAATTCTGGCATTCGGAAAGGATAGATCACCACGTTTACAAGAGAATTGCTAAATTGTAATAACCTAACGAGCAAGACAGTCAATTGCAAATGAGGAAAAATTGCGGTCACGCCTAAATATGTCAATACATTCAGAATTTGAAATGGAAGCCAGGCGAAAAGAGAAGCTCCTGCTATCAGAAATAAAGTCTTTGTTAATCTCGCTTCTCTTAAGCCGAAATGATTTTGGTTACCTATCGATGATCTCTGTTTCTTCCAGATAACATGATATGCAAGACACATAACTAAAAGAGGAGCGGCAGGACAAAAAATAAGAAGACCCAGTATATTTTCAAGTGTTAAAAATAGAACAGCGAATATTGCTGCCATGATCCACGGTGTGGCAACGGCAAAGGTGTAAGTACGAAGTTTCAAAGTTCTGTGATGATGAGGCCAAGCGACGGCAAACATCCTCTCTAGGGAGATTACGCCAAGGGTGTAGATGGAAGCTAAGGCTGTGAAAACGTCAACAAGAAAGAATATCTTGCGTATAGCCACCGAAGATGTTTCATATGCTGTTATCAAAAGAGGGATTGAAAACAATCCAACCAGTAAATCAGCAAAAGACAAGCTGATTAGAAGAAAAGAAGCACGTTTGCGACGTCTCTGTTCAAGAAATATCCAGATGGTTAAATTATTTCCAAAAACAATCAAAGTCGCTAATGATGCAAAACACCAGCGCCAAAACACGTTCCACGAGTTAAAATTCATGGCAGCTGGTTAATGTGGCTTTATTCCTTGATGCAAGAATACCCCTTTAGAATAAAAAAAAATTTAAAACAAGAACAAAAATTAAATGAATGAAATAAATGAAAGGTTTAACTACCTGTTCTGACAGAATAAACAGGTAATATATATTATTTCTCGATAATATCCACATTATCAGTTTTTACCCTTTTATATCTATTATCCCAATTTCTTCATTTTCTTTATGTAATCCTCCTTTTTTAGGTCGCAGAGAAATACTTCTCTTTCT